TCATTTGGAAAAAAACACAGTATCTGGGAAGTGCACGAAGTGATGTGCAGTCCGTGGAGGTACGCCTGGGCTGGCCCGATATGCATATTAACCTAAGTTCTGGTTTTCCTTTCTTCTGTTTTGTAAAGCCCAGGTGACCAGGGCCATCCCCTTGTGCCACACTGGCTATCTCCCAGGGACTCTGCCCCATTGCCAGTGTCCACTCGCCTCCCAGCATCCTATTCCCGTGATGGTCCGTGGTGCAGCAGTGGGCTGGACTTCTTTCACCCGGGGTCTGCCACAGTCTCCTGAATTCAAAACATCCTTTGCTTCATCTCTTTGTCTCACTTGTTTAAGGGCAACAGGTCAGAGACTATGCCTTGCTCTCTACCTTGCCTCTTGCCTCCCCCACCACCCCACGCCAAGATTCTTAGACCAAGAATAGAAAATCATGTTCCAACTTCACAATTCTCATAGAGACCCTAGTTTCATCTGGGAGCCGTACTTCCAAAGGGTCCAGGTGTACAGATTATGCTGCCCCTGCCCGTGTGTCGCCTCTTCAATCACTTGTGTCCCCTTGCTTGTGAGGCACAACAGAGCGAGCTTTCAGAAGGAGTCTTTTGTATTCCTAGAGTCTAAAAATATTTGCATGTAAATGTTGGGAATCCAGACAGTCTCCTTAAGATCTATACTTCGAGTGGGGGGGGAGGGATACAGATCATTGGGGTGCCTCTGAAAATGAAATGTACACCCCATTGTGCCCCACCCCCTACTATTGCACCGGCATCTGAGTAGAGGCTGTGACACTGAGCAAGGCAACGCATAAATAACCACATTTCAAAATGAATACTAATTGCATAATGACAGTTTCCAAACTATTAGCCTACTTTACAAAAAAAGTTAATTCAACACAAGCCCAGAGCTGGCTGTTGCTTCTGTGTTGTGCTGCCAACTGGCAGGCACAACTTTGCAAAGGGATTGGGGGAAATGAAGGTTATTGTAGTGGGAGCACACTCAGCCTTTTGTGAGGAGGGGACAAACTGCATCACACTTTCGAGTCCCTGCTGTTCAGCGTTTAAGAGTCCACACTGGGATCCTGCACGCCTTCAGGGAAGTTGCTTACTTTTCCTAGAGGTAAAATGGCCCAGTGCCTAGGCTTGGGGAGGAGTCTTGAGTTTGCTGCTCTTTGAAGGAGAGAGCTCCTGGAAGATGGAGGTGATAAGCACTGGGGAGATGAATCTAGGCTGGTGTGTATTGTCCCAAGCGGGGAAACCCTGGGACCAGGGAAAAGGCGGCTCTCTGAGGTGAACAGCGCGTGATGGCTAGAGCAGAGTGTGACTCCTGCCTGGGCCTGCTCACCCTCACCGATAGAATGAGCGTGGCCTGGATGGCTCTGAAAGGCCCCTCCAGTTCAGAGAGAGCACCGCCATCCTGTCCTCGAAGCTGAGGGTACTCTAATAGGAGAAAAGTATTTTTGCTGGGAAGACACAGGAAATGATGGGACTGATTCTCTTTCCCTTCTTTTTACTGAAGGACTCATAGACGTTTTTCTCATTTAGCAAATTAAGGTGCTTATGTTAAAGTACCTCAAAGGAAAAATGAGAAAGAGCCTGCTGAGGAAGAGGCGCTATCTGAGGCAAGATTTCATTCTCTTTGGGACATTCCACTGCCTTGACTAATTGGAAGGGAGCACCAGGAAAGCCACAAATGAAAGCCCAAATAAAAATAAATGTAGGTAGCAATCTTAGGAAGAAGGGTAAGTGATGAGGGTTATGTCATATCATTTGCTTCCAGAAGGTGACTATTCAAGATATGAGAACCCTAGTTTATGTGGCAATTTATATTAACTGCTCCCCCAACCCCTATCAACAGGAGGCTCTGGGCTACAGAATTCCAAATGGACAAAGTTGGATTTGCCTATGAGGAAATTCAGAAAAGTACATTATTTTACTTTGGCCCAATTTTAGGTTTAAAAACCCTTGATCAGAATTCATGCAAAAGTCTGTTCTTTTGAAAACTCCACTCCCTTACTTTTTTATATATTTGCAGTCACTTTTCTCTTTGCACTGATCTCAAGGGAGACCTTTGTTTCCTCATCTAGTGAAATATTTCTAATTCTTCCCTCCCTGACCTTTTTTTTTTTTTTAAGTACTTCTAGTCCAGATGATGCCTGAGATTTTGATTCTTGGGCATTTCCAACTTAGATGTCCAAGGTTCTGATTAGACTTTTCTGAAATGAGTTCCGAGTTATATAAGTGTAGTTAATCAAAAAGTTTTCATTGCCTCCTTGCTTCTGGCTTCATTTGACCCTGAAAGTTACTATTGTAAAAGTTCCTTGCCCTATGTTCTTCAGTGTGAAACAGCTTTAAAAGAAACAGCATATCAGACTTAATACTGTAAGATACGCTGAAGCCCATCTTCTCCTGAGAATGTGTTTTTAACTTTTAACTTACTGTCATTTATAAGCAGTTATTTCAACTAACCATATTTTCTGAGTCTGAAGATCTCTTATAAATCAAAAATCAAAATAAGTTCCTTATACATGTTTCCTCTGCTATCTGAAAGTAGAATGTCCTATGAAACCTTTCATAAGCTAAAATGACTTAAGTAGTGAAGCAATTGCTATTCGTTGATATGGAAAAACCTTTAACATTTCCAGCCCCCCCCCCCCACCAAATAACCTCTCAAAACATACCAAATAGCCCAGGAAACCTAACATAATACTAACACATGCAAGAGCAAGAAAGACAGATTCACAGCACTTCCTGGGGATGGAGCTTGCTGGGGCCATGCTTGCTGGGTGCCTTCTGGCTGCTGCAAAACTGCTCAACGATGCTTTCAGCTGTTGCCTGTTGTGTTAAAGCAACAGTCCTGCCTGGATTTCTTCTGTTGAGCAAAAGCAGGTATTCTTGTTAAGTCTTAGCTAAAAGCCAAGTGGCATAACTCAAACTTTTGACATTTGGTTGGATACCTGTATTTGAGTTAATTACTGTTTTATGTCTTAGGGATATTTGAAATGCATTTCAACAAAAATGCTCATGGTGAGATTATTTTATATTTATTCCTTTAAGTGCTTGGACCTAAGGGAACCTATACTCTCTGTAGCAATGTCTTGCATGTTTCCTCTGTCCCTGCACTATCACCCTTCCTTAAATCACCTGACACCTGAAATTAGACACGACTAAAATACCTGTATCTTGAAAACCCCATCAGTTTCTGAGTAAGTGTATTCACGTTTTCCCTTCTTCCAGGTAGCCTGAGATGAAATGTTTTGCATTTGTGTATGTCAGATTGAATGGGAGTTAACTGCAGGATGTATGTGCTGGGTACTTGTCTGACTGAGTTTCAGGCTGGCTAGGCCAGGTGGGTCCTGGCCATTTTATTTGTATAGACCTACTACAGTTCCAAGAGGACTTAAAGTATTGAGGAACCTGATGTTTAGTGAAAAGGAAGAGCAGACAATGGGAAATATGAATGGTTGGGTTCAAAGTCACCCAGTGAGGATGGCAACAGCCATGCACATCCCTGAGTGCTCCAGGACAGTCATAAGCTCCGCTCTGCATTAGTCACATTAGCTACAACTACTTTGCTGATGTTTGGCTTCTCTGTGCAAAGGCACCTAAAAAAAGGCAAGAATATAGATGCTCTCTTCAAACTAGAAGCTTAAAACTCTGAAATTTGTTTCTGTACTCCATGCTCCATAACATACACCCCTTAAGGGGAAATTATGGTATCTGCAACCTTCCCTGGTCACTGCAGTCATCTCTTCCCATGACTGTTTACAAAGTTACTGTACAGCTAGAGATTGATCAAAAGCAAAGATTCTACTGAAAAGGTATTATTTGAAAACAGTGGAGGGCCTGGCCTCTCCCCCACATCCCACTTTTTTCTCATTTTCTCTCTTGTAAGTAGTTCCTGAAGGCAGTACGAACGAATGGTTGCTTCTTTTCAATGAATGCATATTCTGGACCACTGTCCATAAAACTCTCTCTTGGAGGGTTGACGGTGACTAACCTCACTTGTCGGTAAAAATGTCCATTTTGGCCCTCCCTGGTGGCGCAGCGGGTTAAAGCACAGCACTGAGAAGCTTAAGCCACTTCTGCATGAGTTAGATTCCCGCCTGCCCAGGAGGTGACCACATGGCGTGGCAGACCTCTCCTGACCGGCCCGCTGCTCCCCTCAGCAGTGTACTTCATAGATCTGCCTGTTCTGCTCCCCACTGTCTCTGGCGAAGCCTGTTGCTGCCCCTGCACCTCTGGCCTGTACCCCAGTTCTGTATGCATAAATAAATATTTTAAAAAATGTCCATTTCTGAGCCAGGGAACCTATGAGAATAAGCTTTCTTGGGCTGGGGGTAGATAACAAAGATGCGTCCCCTTTCTCATCTTAGTGGCGTCCCTTTGTGTCTATTCCCCCTCGTTCCCCCACAAAATGGAGGACAGTGAAGAGAATATGGAGAGTGTAGGGTGGGTGCTCAGCTGCCATCTTCCCTTACAGTCCCGTGTTCAGCCTCTTAGGAAGAGCCCCTTAGGACCCATGGCCATTGAGCACTTTGGGATGAGTGGAACCTAGTGAAAATATTCTGTTAGCTCACTAAACTCAGCCTTCCCTGTCTGGCATGTGAATGTGCTCCCAAGGGGGCTGAGGATGGAGCAAGGTGTGGGTCAGTGGGAACCTGCCACAGGCACCCGGAGAACCCTGCTGTGTATGTTTTATCAATGTCGCCTTAGGACTATCTCTTTATGAAATGTGTGCTTTTCCACATTCTGTTTGAATCCCCTTAGCAATCACCAACTGTACCCGATGGATCCATTTGACACCAGAAACCAATAGATAAGTAACACACCTTTAATAGAAAACACAACGCAAAGTGCCTTACAAAACTAACAGGCACTTTTGCTTTTGTTCATTCAATTCATTCAACAGGTACTTGATGAACAACTCTGGATGTTATACTATGAACAATTACTATCTAGCAAAAAAAGGAATTTGCAAAAACTGTCATGAAGAACGAGGACACTCTAGAAAATGGGGCCTGGGAAATGACCATTGATGATAGGAGCCCAGGCCATGCCTACATGGGTCAGACCATAGTGTGGCACAGGTGGCCTGGGTGGCACAATCATCATGGGTGGCCGGGGTATCATGGGTGGCCTGGGTGGCACTGGCATTACGGGTGCCCTGGGCATCATATGTGGCATCGGCACTATGTGTGGCCTGGGCACCAGAGGCCCATGTGCCATAGGAGGCCCAGGCAGCATGATGGGCCTTGGCACCACAGGGATACATCTCCATGCAGGCTCAAGAAGAGGAAACGCATTGTAGCATCTATCAAGGACTACCCCCATCGGGTGGCCAAAGGCAAATGGGGCCATATTTCTGTACATCAGCGCTCTCTGGTTTCTTCTCCACTTGGCCCTTCTGTTCTGAAACCAAACCTTCAATCAGAGGGGAAAAAAGGATTGGTTTAGTATATTGAACAGTTCACGTCATAATAGAAAAAGAAGTACATGCAACTCTCCATGGGGATTTTAAACTGCAGAAGCTGCCATTTCCTATTACTAAAATCCTTAGGAAACCGACTACCACAGCTCCCTTAAGCTGGCCCTCATTGAGCCAAGCTGAGTCCAGACCTTGGCACATGGCTTTGTCTCCCTCCCAATCTGAGTATTCCTGCATGGTTTTTATTCACTCTTGGAAGCAGGTCTAACAGATCAGTGGCGCTAGGTCACTGTTGTTCATGTTGATGCCCATGTGCAGGGTAAAAAACATTAGGACATCAGCTGTGCTAGCTGCCTCCCCACCCCCCTACCCCCGCTTCTCTCCACTAAAGGCACACTGAGGGACACCCCCATCTGAAAGGCCCAACCCCAGTCTGAAGGAACTGATCAGTAGGAGCACCCTGCACTTGTAAACAGGTTTCCTTCGATGGTGTTTAAGAGCTAAGTCTTTCCCTGATTTAGGAGTTAACAGGAATCAATTAATTAATTAGTAATTAACAGGCAGATGGTAACAAAGCTTGAGCACAGGGCCCCAGGAGCTTTGTGGCTTGTTTTGCTGGAACATGAGTTGCTGAGGCCTTGGGTCCTGCTTTGAGATTTTAACCTTCAGTGTTGAAGACTGTTTAGCCTGACTAAATCCAAATTCACTGAGCTCTCAAGACCCTTCTCCCTGATACGGGATTATGTACAGCATGGTCACCATGATCAAGTGTGCACACTCTCATCTGCCCTGCTCTGCAAACCTTCCAAGGCTCAGGACAGGTCAGCTCACAGGGCATTAGCTATAATTTCAGGGTCACAGACAGGAGCCACTGTTCCCTGGAGTGATGGAGCATCTGAGGCCCTGTCCTCTCTACTCCTTAACCCGGAGATCTTAATCTGGCTACTCTTTCCTAATGAAGGAAGTCTGACTGCACACTTTAAGAAATCCTCCAACAGCAGTGGCGGGGACGTGGGGGGGGGGCATACGGGGGAAGAGAGCACAGTAAAGGCTCTCTCTCCCTAAATGCCTCCCTGCTACTAACAAACCAAAACATCAACTAGTCTTCAGTGTCCTCTTAATGAGTGTATGATGTTTACATTATATTTATTTGTTTTTGAAGTCCTCAAACTGCATTTTAAGCACTGGAAGTCACCTTTTCCCTTTCTCATTTTAGGATTTGGGAGCCTTCTGTGCTGAATATATGGTTTCAAGAAGGCCAGTATAACAGAACTCATTTTGGTGCAATTAAAATGTATATGAGATCATAGGTGAGGAAATAGTAATAATAATGAACAATTATATACCAGAGACATTTTATGGGAGTGGAGTAGGGGATGGGATCAAAAACAGTGAGGGGAGGGAAATGCATTGGACTATGGTGATGGCACATGGGTGATCTGGTGATGGGAAGCCCACGGGGATGACAACTGAGATGGAAAATGCACAAAATAATGCAAAAATAAACTATTAATAAAAAAAAAGTTAACAAGTAATGCCATTAATTTACCATAGTGGGAACTGAGGTTATTTAAATGAAAACACTGAACAAAAATCTCTTTAGAATTTCATTAATTTTAAAATGAATGCCAAAGGGTTGGATTGCTGAAGAAAAGAATGTGAAAAAGGTAAAAAAAAAAATTAACGTCTTGATAGATATTGCCTAACTGCCTGCCAGAAAATTTAGAAGAGTTTACATAGTGAAAGAATTTAAATCTAAAACAAGGGGCCCTCCCTTAATGGGTTAAATGGGTTAAAGCAGCACTATGAAGCTAGCTAGCCACAGCTGCTTCTGCACGAGTTCAATACCCGGCCAGGGAGGTGACCTCTATGGTGCAGCAGACCTCCCCTGTCTCACTTGCTGCTCCCCTCAGCAGTGTACTTCATCAAGCTGCCTGTTCTGCTCCCCACTCTATCTCTGGTAAAGCCTCTCACAGCGCCCGTACCTCTGGCCTGTACCCCAGTTTTGTAAGCATAAAGAAATCTTTTTTAAAAAAATGTACATGAGGTCAAATCTCCCTAAACATAACCAAAGTCCACATCTGGCAAATTTTGGTATGGGCTGGATCTTAGGTTCATATTTTGAATACTGCCTTCATAAAAACAGTTCTATTACATTTGCAAAAGAGGGGAGAAGTGTCTATTAAATTCCAGCGGTGGGGAGAATTCATGCCACTGAGTATGTAGCTAATGAGAACATTGTCTTTTTTCTCATTTGTGTTCTCTGGCTCATTTTTTCAGAAATCCATAGAGGGCTATGTAAACTTAGAGGGGGAAAGCAACTTAGCAAACTTTGTCTTTTCCTTTCAGTTTACCTTGCCTGCCTCAGAAACTGGAGGTCTAGCCTCCTCCCTGAGACCATGCCTGACTGGGCTGCTTGTCTCATACCACTGAGTAGGGGCCAGGTTTCCATCGCTGCACTCAGGCACTCTGGGGCAGAACTACTAAGCCATAAAATATATATGCATTATATATACATGTATAAAATCATATATGTGCATAAAGTACACACATATTACATATCATAAATATATATTTAAATATATTATTGGTTATGCATGCTTGATGTTATAAATATATATCATAAGATATACCTTGCATATTATAAATATATCTGTTATAAGTACATGCTTCATAAAAATATAGTAAATATATTCTAAACACAGATTTTTAATATTTTGTAACTGCATCTCAGCATTTGCAATTGTATATTAATTACATATACGTTTCGGGAAGAACAAATATACCTTTGACGTTACTTTGGCTTTCTGTGACCACAAATAGTCACTTTTGATTCCATGGCCTACAAATTAGTAATCGCTGCATGGGTAAATGAAAAGCATTTTAAATGAAGACACGTTTAAGAATCTGGCCTGAAGTGAGAAAGTGAGAGCCCCCTTACAATCGGCCAAATTCCAGAAAACTTATATTTTCAAAACAACACCACCACCAAAAATAATTCTTAGATGTTAAAAATCCCTCCAGAGAATATTTACTTATATATTGTGCTGTTTTTGTGCAACTGAATTTGTGGCACCTGTATTTGCACATATACGATTCTTTTTTCAAAGTAGTGGAACTTTATTCAAATTGCTCTTTATTCACCCCCTCCCCAATGTTTTTCAATTTTCCACAGTTTGCAAACCTTTCCCAATTAAGGCCATCAATGCTGTTTATTTATGTTTTTAGACTAAAATCATAGCCTTCCAAAAAATGTAGAAGTTTGAGGCTGCTACTCGTTTATACTGTTTTACAAAAACAAAACAAAACAAAACAAAACAAAAAACAAAAACAAAACTTGGAAACAGAAGGACCAGGGACTTGGAATTTTAAGCTATCTCTGCCCTGTGCCAGCCTCAGTTTCACTGAACATACTGTGTATGTACAGTGTTTTGTGTGTGAGTTACTCCCTCACCAAATGCCTAAATATTTATAAATTCACTCAGCCATGAGTTATGCCTGGTTTTAAGTCTTTTACATAATTAGTACAACTAACACTTTAGTGCAGTAATTTGAATAGTTCCCAGGTGGGAATGAGCACCAACATAATTTCACGTATTCTGGTAACTAGCCATTTCCATAAGCTCAAGCTTACTTCTCTCACGATTTTCTATCCCCAACATACCCAATGTTCAAAACTTGTTTACTAAACATGGAAAAGAGAACAAAACCACACCAATTTAAGATCCAGGACAAAGCTTTAGACATGTTTTAGAATGGCTGCCCAGTCAATTGCTCTTTTAAGATTTACTGACCTGCACTCTGGCTTCATTCAAATTCAGGCGTGCTGCAATCTCTTCTCTGAAAGAGCAAAAGTGTGCATGTTTAGTATTTGTAGTTGTGAGTTAAATTAAATATAGCATGTTCATTATCTCCATTCTTCCTCCCAGAGCAATTTGCAATACACCTGATTCTTGTTCTAGGAGGGCTTTCCCAAGGACAGATAACTTATTTGTTAAATAAAATAGAAGAGGGGGGTATATCGTTAAGTTCCTGATGGTGTGCCTGTTCATTGAATGTGACTCAACCAATTTTTGTTTGTGGAACAGCAGACAGTAACCCTAGAAATCTTCCGTTAAAATAAATAAAATACCAAAACATCTTTAAAGCAATCTTTTGAATCAAATTATTTCTGTTGTCCGTAAAAGGAAGTGAACACCCAAGTCCAAACTCCAAACTACTACCCTGGCCAAACGCTCAAAGGAAATTCTTTTTTGCTCAGTTCTGTCGGGCTAAGTTGAATATCAGGGAACCAGAAAGGGCGACCCTCAAGCTCACACCGACGCCCCCTCTCCAGCCGGGCCACCACGGGCCTTCCACTTATCACTGCGTTTAGCTCCACGAGGGCTGCCCCGACGCCAGGCAAAAGGAGCGCTCGCCGGCCTTGTAAAGCACAGAACTCGGCCGCCTGGAAACAGCGCCCCCAGTGGCACGCCAGAGAGCAGGGTAAGCGCTCGCCTCGTGCGCAAACGGTAAAGGCGCGAAAAAGTCAAGCGCGCAAGATGAGTATTTTCATGCAAAATTCAAAATATGAAAATGACTGCAAAAACACAAATAAAAAAAAAAAGAACCAGGCCCTCCCTGGTGGCGCAGCGGGTTGAAGCACAGCACTGAGAATCTAAAGTCGCTTCCGTATGAGTTCGATCCCCGCCTGCCCCGGAGGTGACCACATGGCGCTGCAGACCTCTCCTGACCCGCCCGCTGCTCCCCTCAGCAGTGTACTTCATCGATCTGCCTGATCTGTTCCCCGCTCTGTCTCTGGTGAAGTCTCTCACCACCCCTGAGCCTCTGGCCTGTACCCCAGTTCTGTATGAACAAATAAATCTTTAAAAAAAAAAAAAAAGAACCAATTTCCAAAAGTTTGAAAGTAAGCAGGCTCAATCCGCCCCTGCTTTACCCGTTTCACGCTAGTCAGACTCAGGTCTTGCCGCCCCCGCAAACCCCAAAGACATTCGCCCCGACGCCGGAAAGTGTGGGTGAAGTTGACTTTCTTGAGTTCCTTAACAGCTTTTTGCCTCAGGATGGAGAGATAGGGTCTCAGGAAAAATCTTAAGACATCCCGAGATGAGTCGGAGTCCCCTGGAGAACCCGGCACCTTCGAAACAAGCCCTTACCTTGCCAACACGTCGGGGTATTGATTGCGACGGAAAAGATTTTCCAGCTCCCGCACCTGCACATCGGAGAATGTGGTGCGGCAGCGGCGCTTCCTCGCGGGCATGGGTGGCTCCTCTGCAGCCGCAGGGGCCGGTTCTTCCTGCTCTTCCTGGGGCTCCTGGTAGCCGCGGCCCCCATGGTTTTCGTCGTCCGACGAGATGGACCCTCTCACGTCGAGTTCGTCCGCGGCTGCCACTGCTGCTGCTACTGCAGGCTGCTCAGCTTCAAACAGAGTAACCTCCGCGTCTCCTTCCATTCCAATTACCGAGAGCACGGTAGGACCTGCATCTGGGAAAGGAGGGAAGCAAGAGAGAGACCACGGCTTTGCAGCCCACGGTGCGTGGGCTGGAGACCAGGCGCCGCGGCAGAAGCGCCTCGGGTACAGGCTCGCAGCGCCCCGTCCACCCCTACTCTCGCGGAGTAGACGCCCTTCCTGGCGCTCGCCTGAACACCTGTCCCGTCGAGGTACCGACCGTGCAGTTCTTCCCCGTCCCCACCGAGTCCCAGGCTGAGGTCGCTGGTGCCAGGAGAGCTGCAGTTGAGAGGACTCTCCATGCCCTGCGTGCCTCTGGCGTCTGTGGCGATCCCGGGGGCGCGGTTCGCGCTGCAGCCGACCGCCTCGTGCGGTGTCGTCTGGCGTCGGGACTTCTTCCAAGTGCAGCGGGACCTTGCGCGCCTTATATAGGGCATATGTTGCCTTCCGCACGTTCAAAGTTTGCGCGCTCACCTCTGTTTTTGTGGGTGGAACCTGCTGAAGGCGCGCTGGTAGCCAGGGCGCGTCAATAAAATAGGGCGCGTGTGCAAGAGTAGTGCTGGTAGTGGGCACGCTTTGTGCCGAGAACGGTAACACCAACTCGCAATGTAACGGACAGCCCCTAACTCGTATGAAGTATGCGATTCGAGGAAGGTCCTATGAGAACTGTGATTTTTTTTTTTTTTTTGCGGGGTGTGGGGGTGGGGTGGTAAGACTTCACCCTGGCTCCTCGAGCTCGCGGAGAAGTATTTGGAGAATATTCCTCCGCACAGCCCTCGATGTTTGCGAAAGGCGCAGTGTCTTTTGCTTCGCGAGAGGAAAATGAGAGAGCGCTGCGAAAAGCGTTGCCCTCAGCAGCTCAAGCACGCTAAAGCCAAGTTGTTCATTTAGTCTGCGTTGGGCTCCCTAGAGCGTTCATTCTCCCTAGAAGCTGGTGACTAATGGAGAGGGCTGTCTGGGTCTGTTCCATTCTCACTTAAAGTTCAAGAACTTAGTTAGGAATTAAGGCGACGCGATGAGATAGGGGGCTGCTTGCGCTCGGTTTTGGAACTTAGATCCCACCGCGCATTCTGGGAGCGGGCGTTTGGCGCTGGGTTTGCAAAGTACTGCGATGCTCCGATGCACGCTGCAAGAGCCCGCTGCAAGTGCCCAATGCACTTCGTAAGGAAATGCCTCGAACTTCATATTTTTGGTAACGACTCCGAGTCGGAGTGCAAAAGTTGGAACCTGCCAGGTGTTTAGTGTACCCGAGGATACCTATGCTGCCTGCCCCCTCTCCCTCCACGGTGGCGCCTGCACTATTTGCTGTACTGGGTCGCTAGACTTAACTGCCGCGCGCTCTGCAGCGCAGGTGCAGAAAAAAGGCGCCTTGTTCCCGGCCAGTACTGGGAGAAGTGCAGCTCTGGGAAAAGGGACCGCGGTCCCCACTAACATTTTATTTCCCCCTCCTCTTCCCTTTCTCTGGAACTACTCTCCTATACTGTTGTCCCTTCACTGATGCATCAAATAAAAAAGGGCCCAGAAGCGATTCACACTCGGGTCTCCCGCCTACAAGTGTTCGTCCACGCTCCACGATGCGTTGCTATCTTTCATTCTGCAAGACTAAGTTTTAAGAATGGGCATTAAACTTGGCACCGTACATAATTTATCCTACATTGACCTATAAGGCTGCCATTATTATCATCCCATCTTTGCTCCGGAAGACAAGCAACCTGCCCCTGGCGATACACGTGAGTTTGACGGCGAAGTTCTGGCAGTTTTCACATTACAATGGCAGTCTTATTTCAAGGAGTAAATCATGGTGAGATTCCAGACGGCACGGGAGGACGGGGAAGGTGTCTAAAAATCCGCAGTGCCAGACGTCCCTTCCTCGTCTTGTATCGGATCAGGCACCTTTTTCCTCGCATGAGGTCTTCAACTGAGTATCTCTAAATCAGAGGTTTGGGATGTAGGGGTGCTGGGTTTCCCAACTTGTCTCTTCACTTTCGCTGCACATTGAGGACACTAAGCAAAGCAGGATGCTACATGCATTGGCTGTTTTCTTGAAGGGGAGAGATGTCCTGAGACCCCCCCTTTCCTGGCAGGGCCACATTATGACACCTGTGGACCACCGGCGTTTTGGCATTCTTGGACCCCTTCCTCCATAAACTTTTTTTTTAATTATATTTTACAATAGTGTTGGTAGAAAGATAAATACAGGTTTCCCCACTATCTGAAAGAGCATTCTTACTTTCCCCATGTAAAGGTGGCAGGAACGTTAGCAGTTTTATTCATGTGGAGAGTATTTCTGAGCATTTATACCAAATAACATAAAACCTACAGTCACACAAACATATAGTAAAATCAGGAATGACAGGATACATCACAGTTTGTGTAAGTAGTTCTCGGGAAAGGAGCACTCTTACTGCTCCAAATCACAACTGCCTCTAGAACAGCTCTCCAAAATCAGCCTAGAATGGTTGCTAGTCTCACTGTCTTTTGTCATAGAAGTGAAAATTCTGTTTGTTTGTTTATTTAACAAAAGTAGGTACCACTGTGGGGCTTTCCTAAACGAGAAGTGGTTCAGCTCAAACTTTCGAAAGCAGGGGATTTGTGTCTAATCTCTGCTGGATTATGTGTGTTTTATTTATTTAAAAAGAAATCAAAACAGTTTTGGGTTCCTAATAGTTTGGTGGGCGGTGGCTAGTGGCCAAGTCACCCTGTCTCATTTCCCAGAAGGTTTTTTGTTTTTAAGAATTACTTATGCATACAGGCAGGAGCAGTGAGAGGATTCACCAGAGACACAGTGGGGAGCAGAACAAGCAGATTGACCAAGTACACTGCTGAGGGGAGCAGTAGGCAAGACAGGAGAGGTCTTGCCCACATGCTGCGCTATGTGGGTCACCTCCCTGGCCTCGGATGGAATTTTCACTGAAGCTAATGCAGCTGGCTTCATAGTGCTCCGCCCTAACCTGCTGTGCCACCAGGGAGGGCCCATAGAAGGGTTTTTTTTTTTTAAATTATTGCCATCTTAGTAGGAGTTGGATAAGGAAACAACTATGAGGTGGCTAACAGGTGACATCTAATTGATGCCAAGGGTTGGCAAACCCCTAGCATCTCTCTGATTTTAATCAAGATATTTCCCCCTTTGGTTGATTCTTTGACCTTCTTTTTAATCAAGATGTGCACTGACATGATTGGATTTACTTAATATATTCACTTAAGTTCTTTCACCTTTTGGAAACCTTAAACACCCAACTGATCTTTGTCATAGACACAAACAGCCCTGAGTTCAAGTGAAAAAGTAAATGTGTGTAAGGAAGAGCATGGCAGCAATGGACAGCAGGGACCCAGAAGCCAAACCAACGGCGACTGAGTCCGAGCTTTGCTTGCCATTTGCTGGCTGGCTAATCTGATGAGTTGCTTATTCTTCCTGTGCCATGTGCCTCTGTTTTTCTCTTCTGCAGAATGGGGATAACTAATTGTACCGACTTCATGGGGTTGTTGTGAGGATGCGCAGAAATGTCTTGCTAATTTTTACTTTGTGCCAAGTACTGTTTAAAGTACTATCGATATATTAGCACATTAAATCCTCATAACAACCCTGTGGAGGTTGATACTGCTGGTAAGTGTTGGACCTTGAACTTGAACCTTCTTAGAATGAGCTTTGTAAAAAGAATATGCTTAATATTAAAATGGTGACTATTATGGTTTAAAAATGACTAAATACACTATTCAGTGATGCCCAATATATTTGCAGTGTTGTGCAGCCATCACTGTTATTTCATTCTCGAAAATTTTCATCATCCTAAAGTCAGTCTGTACCCATGAGCAGTGGTCATACCCTAGTCCCTCTTCCCTGCAGTGCCCAGTTAATACCAATTTTTTTTTTAAATCTCTGTGGATTTGCCCTTTCTGGATATTTCATATAAATTGAATCCTATAGTGTGAGACAGTTTGTGTCTGACTTCTTTCACTCAAGTGTGTTTTTGAGGTTTATCCTACATGTTGTAGCATGTATCTGTTCTCCATTCCTTTTATGGGTGTATAGTATTCCCTCGCAGAGGTAATCACATTTGGTTTATATGTTTATCCTAGTTGCTTCCACCCTTTGGTGATTATGAGGAAGTGCCACTTTGATTTCTCTGAACATTCGCGTTTTGCTTTTGTTTGAGTATATTTCCTTCCATGGCAGCTGGGCCATTTTACCTTCTCACCAGCAATATACCAGGGTTCCAGTGTATCCATATGTTGGCCAATCCTTACTTTTTTATGGTTTTTTTTTTTTAAATTATAGCCATCTTAGTAGGGGTGAAGACATACCTCATTGTGGTTTTGATTTGCATTTTTCAGATGACTAACGATGTTGACATTGTTAAAATTTAAACATTTAAATTTAATTTGTTTAATTGCTATTAAGAATTTATTTTAATTGTTGGCTATTGTTGGCTATATCTTTGAAATTATTCAAGTCTTTTGTCCATTTATGTGTCTTTGTCTTGTTGTAGAGTTGTAATAGTATTTCTATATATATTAGACTGTTTTTTACTTGCAAATATTCCATTTGGTAAATTTTCTTTTCACTTTCTTATTGGTATCCTTTGATAACTGCATCCATAAGCTTTCCCTCATGTGGCTTCAAAGTTTAAGTGAATGTTATCAGCTCAGTTTAATTTTTTCTTGGTAGAACATCCAGATATGTGGCAGAACCAAATATAATCCTTTCTGAAGGCATCTACCTGTAATTTGAGACTTGAATAAGTTTTCCACAGTTAAAGCCCAAATGTGCACATACTTTTATTTTGTTTTTTTAATATAATAGCTTATCTTTACATCATTTTGTGCCTTTTTTCCATCTCAGTTGTAATCCCCGTAGGCGTCCCACCACCAAATCCCCCGTGGTGCACATACTTTTTTAAAAAAGCCGCCATCGTCGGCCCTCCCTGGTGGCGCAGCAGGTTAAAGCACAGCACTGAGAATCTAAAGCCGCTTCCGCATGAGTTCGATTCCCGCCTGTCCCGGAGGTGACCACATGGCGTGGCAGACCTCTCCTGACCCGCCCGCTGCTCCCCTCAGCAGTGTACTTCATAGATCTGCCTGTTCGGCTTTCCACTCTGTCTCTGGTGAATCCTTTTACCGCCCCTGCACCTCTGGCATGTACCCCAGTTCTGTATACATAAATAAATCTTTTTTTTTAAAAAAAGCCACCATCAGCACACTTACTAAATTAGCTATAGACCTACAAAAATCTATTATCAGACGCAAACTATTTAAAAATGTTTTTAGCATATTTAAATAAATGAGAAGCTATAAAACAAAACAGAAGCAGGAAAGAACTAAATATCAAAAGGAAGCAAATAGAATTTCTAGGTGGAAGTAAAAGATGAGTGTAACTTTTTTCTTTTTTACTGCAGTAAAATACACATGTTATAAAATTTGCATTTTAACCATGAACATGTACAATTCAGTGGCAGTTAGTGGCTTTGCCAGGCTTTGCAATCATCCCCACCATCTAGTTCCAGATTTTGATCCCTCCAAAAGGTACTTATACCTATTCAGTATTCACTCCCCATTCCTGCTTTATCTCGTGCTTGTGAGCCTGAATCCATTTTCTGGTCTATGCATTTGCCTATTCTGGATGGGTCAAAGAAACAGAATTTTTCTGTGGCGTTTAATGTTTGACATCTTCCGCATAGCATACTGCTGTCGAAGTTGTAGCATGAATCTTGGCTGTATTCATTCCTCTTGGAGACATACTTGGTGCTCCAGGACCTCAGGGCCAGTGGAACCTGGAGCCCATGTCCTGTAAAGAGGCTTGGGCTGACCTAGGTGTAACTTTGGCATTGCTGTACTAGAGGGCACACTTTCCAGTCTACCCTTGCTGAAGGCCAGATAGCTGGTGCAGGCTTAGCATGCTTTATGCAAGATCTGTGCTCTAGACAAATCAAATTTCCTTTTAAACCATCCCAGCCGTGAAGAGTCCTGGCAGGCAATAATCCCTTTGTGAAAGAATTAACGATTCCTTGAATAAAGACCAGGAGTTTTTATTTTGGTCTGTAAACTGAAGCACACTCTAGATGCTTTTTTTAAAATTTTTTTTAAAGATTTATTTATTTATTCATACAGAACTGGGGTACAGGCCAGAGATGCGGAGGGTGAAAGGATTCACCAGAGACAGAGCGGGGAGCAGAACAGGCAGATCAACGAAGTACACTGCTGAGGGGAGCAGCGGGCGGGTCAGGAGAGGTC